TTATTTTTCTTTAATATGGTTAATTAATATAAGATTTAAGGAAAGAATGGGAGTTAATTTAGTAAATATAAGACTTAAAGGCGAGGGAATGGAAGGAGGAGAAATGTAGTACTTCAAATTACATTTTGTGCCCTCACAATTAGAGAATGACCAAATTCAACAAAAAGGGTGGGGGTATTCTAGTCAAGAATAGTATTCAATGAATGCCAGTGGTCATTAATGCCTTAAATATAAGAATTAATGAAAAGGATTTAAATGAAAAGAAAAGTGGTTGTTCAAATTGTATTTCTATCCTTACAATTAGAGAGGGACCAAATCCAAAAATTGGGGTATTTTGTTCATTCAAAAGTTTGACATTATCATTCACACTTTTAATAGTATGTGAGTGTGGTTATCAACATGTACCTACAAGTACTATATATAGAATCACATGATTAGTCCAAGACTGCTCAGGGTAGTCCTTATGGCTGCCTTTGTAATTAAAATCTGACTTGAATACAGATTTTGCACCTAGTTCAATTTTGTATCTTTTTTACCCTAGTTTAAGGTATAAATACATATCATACCATAGTAGTATTTTAGGTTTCCCATGCATTGAATATAAAGATTTAAAGTCATTAGACAAGTTTTTAATGATTACAATAGGTGTGATGTGATGGTGGTGTGAGGGGTGTTCAGTTGTTCGGTGAAGTTTAACAAAACATATCAATGCAAAATATAGCTTGCTATTTCATTTTTGAGTATCGAGCGTATTGATACTTAGAACCATGTTCTTACTATGGTTTCCACTCTTATTTGATGCAAAGTTTGCAGCTTTTGGGTTCCTTTATTGATGCAAAATTTTCACTTTTTCCTACTCTAATTCTCTTTCATATAAAATGGCAATTACATCAATTTTGCTTCTTATCTTATATATCTATATACCTTAAAAACTGACATGGAAATGGAACCGTTTTGGCCAACAGTTTTCGAGTCACCAATTCAACCGTCCAGGTGAAACGATTTGGACGGTTTGATAAATTTGTGAGAAAAGAAAGGGAGTTAGCTGTTGTTTGAGAAAGGAAAGGAAAGAAAGGAAGAAATGAATGAAGGAGGAGGAACAAGAGGTAATGCTCATTGGTGATGGCAACGGTGGCGACAAACGATAGCAAGGATGACGATAGATTTGAGATCTCTCTCTCTCTCTCTCTCTCTCTCTCTCTCTCTTTGGTCTCAAATCTGAGATCTCAAATCACTCTTTCTCTCTCTCTCAATGATCTTAGTCTCCACCCCATCTCTTGATCTCATCTCTTTCTCTTTAATCCTCCCAACAAAAATATAAATAAATAAACTTTCATTAAAATGTGAACCATTGTCCGGGTTGAGTGGTTTAGTAGTTAAACCATCCAGATCAGCGGTTCTTTGACCAAATCAACATTTTCTCCAAAAAAGTGGTTTAGACTAAAACCAAACCCAAAGACATGACCAGTTCCTAGGTCAAACAGTCCGATCGTTCAATCTAGTCCGATTTTCAAAATAATGCTTTTTTCTAGCATATAAATTGGGGACTACATGGTCCACATCATTGTACTTCATATTGTATTTCTTATAAACAAACAAAACAAGGTTAAATATGAAACAAAAGCAAACTAGGAGTTACAATCAATCCATTTGCATTCCTATGCATTTATGCTAGTGCAAACGAAACTTGCACTACATTTAAATGGAACCTAAAAATTCATTACACTATTTCTCCATTTTATCGAAAAACACCTCTTGCACAAATAACTTTGTATGTGTTTGGTATAGCTTTCGTTTATTAAATAAATGTTTGCACTTGATTTGTCTTCAAAACCGAGAAAAGTACTTGATAAACCGTTTATGGACAACTAGGTACCATTAGGCACCACACTAGCGGAACAGTGAATAAATGCTCAACTATTGGGAGAAGCATTAAAGTGAAGCTTCCCCTAACGGTTGGTACATACATAAATCAAAGCTAACTTTTGTGAATATAATGCGTACGGATGAATATGATGGGAAAAATGTTGATTTGGCAATAACATGACAACATTTTAATAATACTTATCAAGAAACGCCCACTGAACAAAACACACACTTTAGCTTTGATGGCCTAGTGCATTAGTGCTGTTTACATACACAACCCTTTGTCTTGAAGGAATAAGCCAAAAAAAAATGAAGAAATACGGACAGACCCAATGCAGATTTCTAATTTCCACTGCATAGCTATAAACATTCAAAAGGTTAGAAACCACACTCTATGCACCCATACCCATCCATGAATTGGCATCAATTCCAAGCTGGCACCTACTCCAAATGTACTTTGAGCCTACAAATTCTGACCCTGGGTTGAATCGTCATTCTTCCAAAAAAATGGAAGGGTCAAATTCACTGTAGCAAAAACTACTCTCGAATAAATAACCTCTCTCCTCCTTCATATAAATCACGTCACATCCTTCTACTTTACATAGAAAACAAGGTTAGAAAGTAGAAGAGAATTTACATTCAGTCCATTTGTGTTTATATACACTCTGTCCATTTGTGTACAGTATAAATATATTGAAAATAATACAAAATTCAAGGTTTTGTATTCTACAATTTTTTGTATTTATACTCCTTTCAAATTGAGCCATCATTGAAAATAAAATTTGTAAAGCAAATTTGCAATTGAAGCAAAATAAAATAAAATAAAATAAAAATTTGTAAAGCAAATTTGCAATTGAAACAAAATAAAATAAAATAAAATAAAATTTGCAAAGCAAACAAATAAAGCCCCTTGCTTGGCACTTGGCAGTTTATTAAAAAATAAATTAATAGGAAGAAAAAAGCTTCACCGTAAATGGATTCATCCAAACCACTGCAAAGTAGGACCCACAATATAATGAAGTTCCATCCCCGTAAATAACGTTATCCTCGACATTACATGTAATATTTTGTATCTTGTGCCAGATTTCAAATCAGCCACCCACAAAACTCTTCCCCACAACGTCCCCGCCGTGTATGGGAACATCTCCCGATGATGTTCCTATGATGTTCCTGGTATTATCATTGGGAGATGTTCCCAATACAGGGCGGGGATGTGGTGTGGGACGTTATGGGGGATTGATTCGGTCTCCTTGTGCTAAGCGTCCACATCTTAGATTCATGGAGTTGGATGTCTTAACCCAACGAATCAAGTAAATTCAGACTCTATTTGCTTCTCTAAATATATAAAAAATGTAAAACCCTCTCCAATCTTATCCTCCATGCATTTTAAGGGTAGGGGCAGGTTGGATTTAGAACCCAATAATGTCCTCTTATTTCATGTTATATATAAGTAAAATAAGTAAAATAACACAAGCAAATAATAAATTTTCTGATTATTTAATAAAGACATAAAGAACACATAAAATATCAATTATTCTTTATAAAAAAATTCAAAATATTATTAAATCCAACACCTAATTCATAAAATTTATATGTTTTCCAACAGTATACGGGTCGGGGAGGATTGGGTTTAACCTAATACCATACCTTACCCATACTCATACAAGTTCTAAAATCCACAACCTATCCCCACCCTAAAACCCGTTCTTTAAGCAATAAAGCCCACCCAATCAGGTGGGTAGGTAGGGATGCAAACGGATTGGATTAAATATGAATTAGGGTTATTCGAATCCAATCTGACACTATTAATTGCAGATCCGATCCAATCAGATTTGATAAACATGGATCTAAATTTCAATCCAATAAGGAAATCGGATTTTTGGATCTGATCCGATTCGATTTGATATTTTTAAAAAATTAAAAAAACAAAACATAACATTTTAAATAAAGAAAAACAAAAACCACAAGCATCTATTTTCATCATATATATACATGTCCTTTATAAAAAAATAAATAATATAAAAACTTTACAAAAATGTAATATAAATAATATATCAAAACTACAAACATCTATCAAAACGGATAGAAATGATCCGAATCCGATATGATTTCTAATCGGATTTTATTATCCAATCTGAAGATCTGAGATAGGACTATCTGAATCTAAGAATGGAGGACCGGATTTCGAATAGGATAGGATCATGATCCAATGCATTTGCACACCTAAGTAGGGTTGTTCATAATAAGACCCAAACCGACCAACCCGGTCCGGTCCAACCCTAGTTGGCCGGTTTTTCTTCAGCATCGGTCAGTTTCGGGTTACAAAAAAACATAAACCAAACCGACTCGAACCGACTTAGATATATATTATATAATATATTTCAAATATATATATATATAATATTTCATATATATATATATCTGATATATTTCAGTTTTAATATATATTTCAGATATATATTTGTGGAAATATATACATATATATATTTCAAAATTATACATATTATATATAAAATTTCTGATATATAAAATATCAGTTTTAATCCATCAAATCATTTTTAATTTCCAGGCATCCAGCCTTTGTTTTCTTAGACTTGAATCCTTTATCATTCACACCGAAAGAATCATTCACAAAACCGACCCAAACTGATTCAAACCGACCAGGTCGGTTTTACTTAGTATTGGGTCGATTTCGATTTAATTTCTAGGTAAACCAACCAAGTTGGATCGGTTGGAAAAACGCCAATAAACCGACCCAACCCGACCCATGAACAACCCTACGCCTAACGTAGGGGCGGATACCACCGGGTAAGGTAGAATTGCTATCTCTAATATTAATGGGCGTGAAAAACCAGAAAAAGGAATTCCATACTAACGGGTTGACTCGGAGCTATTCCTCCCAAGTTAACCCACCGGGTGTTGTCCTACCATTTACTTTCTTAGGATCCGTTTGGTTTGTCTGAGATGAAGAGTTGGTTAAGCTGGCTTAGTTGCTTTGAAGACGCCTGATTAAGCCAGAAACGGCTCCATTTCAGCCCTCCCAAACGGATCACTACATGGTCATTTTGAAGCAATTTCTCTCTCTCTCGTATATATTGCTTTGATCCATTGTTTGTCCTTGCAAGAGCCTTTTCTTCTTCATCGTCAATATCCACGATGGGAAAGTATTTTGAAGGAAAGGCTCTTGAGGACGATCTATGCCCAGGCAGCCTTGAGGAGAAGATTTCAGTGTTTTATGCGGGAAATTCAGAGGAGTTTGATCGTTCTTTAGAGGGTAATAATGAGTCTGATCACGAAGGTGACGATGATTCTGATAGTAGTGACTCATACGATTCCACAGAGAGGATCGAATACTGGGAATTGCAGGGGACCATTCTTCAGGTAAATTATTAATGCAGATTCGTTATTTCTTTCCCATGGATCCCATTTCTTAATTTTTCGTTTTCCTTTTCAGCCTTCAGACATATATTTTGATCATTTCCTCAACACAACTCAACCCAGAGAATTTTGTTTTCTGAATTCTCTGCGGAATTAATTACACATGAAGATAGAGTCCTGAAATTTTCTCGGATGGATGGATTATGAGTTAATTGCTAAACCGAAAGGTTTTTATTTTATTTTTCTCTTCTACTGGGTTTCCATTGAATCTTTATTTTAATCAATAAACAGCTCCAGAATTCAAAAAGTCTTGTCACCACAAAATTAGAATATTGGATTGGCACTATTTATTTTAAATTAATATCCAAATCTCTTACCCATTTTCGTTTTAATAATTTGAAAATATTCAGTTATTGGATCATTAATCGCAACGAATTAATCACTACTTTTCTTTTCCTTACAGTGTTTTTTTCCTAGAAAAGAGGAAATTCAACCACTCTAGGCCACACAGTTGTTTTGTACTTTTGTTCCACTTCCACATACAGAAGTGTTGAATAGATCCACCAGACCATTTTCTGATTGGTGATGAGAATATCTCGATATGGTCAGACCTGATCTCTTTCTCCAACCACCAAAGCAAAAATATTAGAAATCCGGTCCGACTGGTTTTCGCGGACCGAATCAATCTGACCAAACGTCGTTCGTTTTTCCCAAATATATAATATTTTAAATATTTTCTTATAAATTATTTGTTCCAGTTTTTTTGGGTTCTTTGGGCTACACAACCGCATGTATATAGAGGCTCAAGGTTAATGGAGAGCTTGTTGTCCTTCACCTTCAGACTTATCTCGTATGTCCTTGTAATGGAAGGGTACAAATAAGGGTGTCCAATCTATTTGGACGGATTGGACGGACCAAAAAGATATGGGGGATTGGATCAATCTGGTTCAAAATATTTGTTAGATTGGACTAATTTATATTGGATTTGGTTGGGTTAAGCCAATATCTGGTCCATTGATATAAGATAAGAATATAGGTGTCAATAGACCGGGTTTGGGTTGAAATCAATCTAAATTAAAATAAATTTAAACAAATTGGATGGTCTGAACATTGAATTGAACCTATCTAAAATGGTCCAAATTATTCATAGGATTGGATTGGACCTGATCCATTTGCAGTGGACTCGCATTGGACCGGGTCGAATTGGACCAAATCCAGTCCAATCGACACCCCTTATACTTGACATCTAATTATCTATGACAAAACAACTTACAACTTCATTTTTCATAATATAACCTTAACAAATATGATAGTAAATTAATAAAATGTTGATAAAACAAGTGTTTTTAATCAAAATTATTTCATATAGCGTCTATAAAATTTACCCTACATAAAATATAACAAAAATTATAAGAAAATCAAGCAACGTCCTTTTATATATTATTAATTATATAATCGGTTCAGAACATCTAGAATCAGTCCGTTCCAATTATAAATGAAGATACAAAACACGTAGAACCAGAACTGGCATAATTGGTTGATCAGTGGGTTCGGTTCTGTTTTATAAACCCGACCCACGGACAGCTCTTTTATATCTGAATTTACAATTTTTTCCCCCTGGCTCAACCGGCTGGCTTTACTTTTTCTCAGGAAGTGCTGGACCACAACTGCTTGACGGGATCAAATTTACAGCGAGAAGTTAAGCGAGCCTTGGAGACGGTGAGAGCGACATGCTTGTGCCAGTGTTCCAAGCAAAGATACGGTGAATGCGGTAGCTGTTTACGCCGAGCAGTTGTTAATCAGCTTTGCAATAAAGGATTCAATGCAGGCTTATGCACATCTAAATGGAAATCCACATTAAAAACCCAAGGAGGTAAATTGCCAACTCCACTCAAGTTTTATGAAATTATTGTTTTAATAATAATAATAATAATAAGTGCCCAGTTTTTTTATATTTTTTATTGCTGTAATTTTTGTAATTATTATTTTTTAAATATTTTTATTCAATTATGACATCATGGTTTGATCCATGTGATAGTTAAATTGTTGAAATACTTCATCACCTAGATAGAGAACAATTTCATTTTTGAGCTGGTGTTAACCTATGTTTTATATTATTAAAAGTATTGAATATATATCTATTTTCTGGAATTTAGGGCCCATTTGATTTGCAAGAATAAGATTTTTTTTTTTTTTTTGATAGAAAAGAAAAAGTGCTACACAACACTTGGGATAGCATGCCCCACAAAGTCACTACAACAAATAAAATCTAAGTCCCTAGGAGGACAAACACGATCCATGTGCTGTATCGAACTCTATCTTCCATATGCTCCTTCATCTCCAGAGAGTCCAAGAAAATGCTTCTAAGGTTCTAAGGAGGAGTTAGGCCCTTGAGACATCTAGCAACAAAATTCGAATCCCCTTCAATAATAATCTGGTATTTGTTGAAATTTGTGGCCTAGTTGTGAGCTTCCCATGCCACCCATACCTCCGCTACATTAATAGTAGAGTTACCAAGAACATAACCTTTGTAGTCCAAAACCTTACTGAAATGGTTCCTAGCAATAGCAGCAACAGAGCAGCTACATTCATAGTACAAGAAACATCAAAATTTATTTTAATTTCACCCAAATTCGGAGGATTCCACAGAATATTCTTCACCTTCCTCGTTTCTTTTTTCAAATTCTGGTTATCATTAAGCAAACTGAATTCATCGAAAGCCTTAAATGCTTTCTAAAGAATAATTTGGGGGGAGTCCTCTTTATCATTGAAAGTCTTTTGGTTTCTGTTCTTCCATATATGGATACAAGCACATTTCTCCTTGAGACGGTTTCCTTTGATCACATCATTTTCATGCACAGCTTTCCACCACTTGAAAACATCCATACTATCCCCATTTAGGAAGTCAATGTTTATACCTGAAATCTCCTAAACTTGCTTAGAAGATGGACACTTAGAAGAGGATGTGGAGGTAGGGGTGTCAATTAGACTGGATTTGGTCCAATCCGGTCCAGTCCAATGTAAGTCCATTACAAATGGACCTGGTCCAATCCAGTTCAATGAATATTTTGAACATTTTGGACCAGTCCAGAGACTGTCCAATCCGTTCAAATTCATGTTAATTTAAATTGGTCCAATCCAGTTCAATGAATTTATATTGGCTCAATCCAATATAAATTCATTATGGACAAATCAGGTCCAATCCGATATGTCATATTAGTCCATCCAAATTCAATATGTCTTATTGGTCCATCCAATACATTCAAATGAATTTTGATTTAGATGGAATCAAACACAAAACCGGTCTATTGACACCCTATTTGAATGGTCCTCTAGGGATCCACATCTGTTGCAATCTCCATTAATATCAACCCCCTCCTTCCTAGGAAGTCCTTCGATGGAAGAAGTCTAATAAGACATTTTTTAATTTTGGAATACTATTTAATCTCCATACTGTCGAATTCCAATTTAGCTGAGTCACTCGACCACAGACAGTCCCACACTTGAGATTATAAGCCGACTTTAAGTTGAAAATACCCTTTGGATTAAGGCTCCAAACTAGATTATCTTCTTTATTACCTTTAGGGATAAATATTGATTTAATTTTATTCCAAATATCAACCAATGTCCGAATCTTATTTTCTTTCCAAATTCCTCTCTCAATCAATGAAATCTCTTACTAGAGCATTTTCTTGAATTTCCTACGAAGGGTCGAAAGTATCAATCAAGGGGCGTCTGTAAACCCAATTATCTATCTAGAATTTAATAGCAGCCCTATTTCAAACAACCCACTTAAGATCCATTCTCAGGAGCTTTCTAGCCTCCAAAATACCCCTCCAAGTCCAAGAAACACCCTTCTTTTTCTTGGCTTTTCAAACATTTTCTTTCCTCAAGTGTTTTCCTTTCACAATTTTAACCCACAGATAATTGTCCTCAGTAATTATCTTCCATTCCTAGGGGAATAAGAGTCTAAAATTAGAATCAGAATGGCCCATTTCAATTCCAATGGTTTAGTTGGAATTGCATAACCTCATTCGAGGGAGTGACATTCCCTCCCCCTCCATAGGGAATGAGATCCCATTTCAATTGATTTTAATTGCGATTTTGATTCCTGTTTGAATAAAATCAGGCATGTGAATAGACCATTCTAATTCTGATTCCAAAGGATTTAGATCTGATTTTGACTACAAATCAAATGGTTCTTTAGTTGTGAGAAAAAATACCTTAAATATTGGATTTAATAAAAGAAAATAGGAGTTCACATTTTAAATAGAAGATTTAATGAGACTGAATTAAAAGAGATGAAAAATAGCATTTCAAATTATATTTTCTGCCCTCACAATTAGAGAGGGATCAAATTCAAAAATAAGGATATTTTAATAAAAACAGGTTCATAAGCTCACTTTTCCATTAATTTGACTAAGATGCTAAAAAGACATGATACTGGAAAAATTATAACCAATCAAATGGAATCATAAAAGTGGTAACCAAACAGGTGGGTTTTCATCAAAATTCACCATGGGTTTGATTGGTCAAAACCTTTCCAATATTAATGTCTTTCCGGGTATCATAGACTATTACAGTGTAGATGTTGGTAGTAGGGATGACCATTTCCGGTCCTCCTTGGCCTGTGATACATTTGAAGTTATAGGCCTAAAGTTTAACCTACTCCTTATAATAGGTGTTAAGCCTAACCCATGATCACCCTTTGTAATGACCAAGAAATTCAATAACAACAATATCAACAATAAGGATATAGGGTGATAGAAGAGGTTCACATAGCTCACTATCTTGGTTTTTTTAGTTGGAAAGATCAGAAGCGGGATAACTCGGAAGTCATTGAGTTGGTTCTAAGAATCATGTCTACATTATCGAAATAAAAAAAAAAGCATCTATTTATATGTTCAGGTGTCCTATACTGGTGGGCATGGTTCAAAGCAATATTTTAAAAATCGATCTAGAATTGCAACTGCTTTTGCCATCAGTTTCTGGGTCAGTAGTTCAACCATCCAGCTTGAATAGATGGCCCATTGTAATATAAAAAATAAAAGATAAAAATAATTAAAATAAAAATGCACAAAAATCGTTATTGGGGTCTAATGGATTGGTAGTTCGACTACCTGGATGAATAATTTGTTGACCAAGTCAATGATTTTTTGCCAAGGAATAGTTTAGGGGTGAAATGAAATCGGTTGCTTAAATGGGTCAATGACGGTTATAAAAGCATGGTTTAAAATACTAATCTCTCTATGAACAAAATTTTCATCATACTTTAGATGGACATTAAGCTTCATATGTGCAAATCTGACCTTTCAACCATCAATCATGTCATACCAATTAATGTATTCTAGTTCAACCATCCAATCAGAAAAAGATTGGGGATCTAAGTTTATTGAATCTAGGAACACATCTTCACCTTCTTGGTTATGTCATTTGCACAGCCACCACGTTCAGCTTATACAATCATCTATTTAAATAGATTTATAAGATGGATCAGGATCCAGTAGGTACAACACATTTCATGAGAACTTAATAAATATTTTGACAATTGCCAAAAGTTGTTTTTAACCTTTTTATAATCAGCTGGGGGTATTTTAAGGGACAGGTGTCAAAAAATTTTCAAAGCGTTCATTGAATGTGTTTATAATGCGGTGCCCACCTGATCTAGCCTGTTATAAGACATGCTTCTAGTTCAACTCCTTAAAAGGGTATCCTAAGCTTGGCTACCTTCCTTTAAGGATAACATACACTTTATCTTCATGATCATTATCATCTACATTAATATCTTCTTAGACAACTCTTTCGGCTGAGTTTGGAAGGAGTACAAATGCAAATATGTAGAGTGCAAAACCTTATATTTTGTATGTATATTCGCTGTATATATTTACATTTGTACTGCTTCCAAACTGAGCTTTTGTTGTTTTATTTATTCCTCACATTGACCATAGGTGCTTTTTGTTGGATTTCTTCATTAGCCTCTTCAAGTTCTTTCCAAACCTAACTAAACTTGGTTACCCTCTTCAACTAAATATTTTAAAATTATCTATGAATTTTCAATAAAAAATATTAACAGACCTATTTTTTATTGGCTTGTTAAAATGCAGTATCTCTTGTTGTATTTCTAGTTTTTATTTGCAACTTTTAGTGTTTATATATTGTTATATTTTTTCTGTTTTTTTCCTTCATTTTTGTTCTATTTATTGTATTATTTACAATTTTCTACATTTTCTTTATTTTTAATTTTTGGTTGTAATTTATCATTTTCTTTGTAAAATTGTCTCATAAAATGACATAAACAATGCACACGACAGTCACAAGAGAATCTTTTATAAAATTAACAGACAAAATGCTAACAGGGGTGAAGTGCTCAATCTGAAAGTTCAAGATGGGTGGGTATCAGTCAAAACGAAAGTCCTCCAGGGAGTTAAGTGTTGCCATCCTAAGGCTGTATTTGATTGCAGTGCAATCTTACTTGCACTAATACAAATGCATAGGAGCGCAAATGAAAAGAATGCAAAACTTTGGTTTAATTTTATTTTAAATTTTACTTTATTCTCTTTCAGGTCTTATTTTACTTCATTTATACTGCAATCAAACAAAGTAAGGTAAAATATAAAAAAAATAAATAAATTAAAATTACATACAAATCCTTTGCACTATCATAATTTTGCATCAGTACAAGCTTATTTGCACTGCAACCAAACGCAACCTAATATTTATAGTGTATGTTGCTTCTACTCTCTCTCTCTTGTGTTGTTAAACCATAGAAAAATTAATTCCTATTTTGTTTTTTTTTTCGTTTTTCTTAGGAATGCATGAATACATAGATGTTATTGTAAAGAGCGCAGGAAGAAAGAAAGAAACCCGGCTCATAATTGAACTGGATTTTCGGGATGAATTTGAGATGGGGAAAGCATGCAACGAATACAAGAAGTTGATAAACCAACTGCCGGAATCTTTCATCGGAAAACACGAGCACATGAATGCGATCATACGCATCGTATGCGATGCAGCAAAGACGTCGATGAAGGAGAAGAAATTCTACATGGGTCCATGGCGGAAAAAGAGCTTCATGGAGATGAAATGGCTTGGTCCTTACCAAAGATGGTATTTCGATCAATCTTCGGTCGTTCAACCGGTTTCTTCACGGCAACTGCGATTGCCAACATCCTCCAGGTTCTGCTTTCAGCAGTTCTCAGCACCAACAGCACTAGAGGTCACCTGAATATCAGCAGCAGATCGATGTTTGATCAATTTTCCTATGATTTTTCATCGAGCCACGCAGCAACTCTGCAAAAGCACTGTATCTCCATCATAGGAGTTGAGATTTTCTGCCAACAAAACATCTTCCAACTCTCTATCAACTTAATCTGATACTACACATCTCATATGACGAGACTCTCATAGGCCCACTATGAATTGTGGGGTGTGAGATTATATTGGTAGAGGGTTGGAACATGTTTTGTTGGAAAGGTGATCCGGACTCCCATATATATATAATAGTATTCATGGAAGCCGTTGAGGTTGAGATATGTATTACTATTTTTTTTAACTACAAATGTAGCTGCTTATGGGCTGATGAATTTAACTAAGAGTTTAGGTGTCTAATAAAAAGAATTTTCAAGGCAATAAAGAAATCAAAATCCACAAATGCTTTCATCTCCTTACCCCTTAATCAAACAATGGAGGGAAAAGATGCTCAAGTATGTATGCACTAACACAAAGCCGATCTCTAACTAAGAGTTTAGATCCGATTATTGAAACCTTGCATCTAAATCGATCTCAAATTTGATTGGATTTAAAGATCTCGAATTCAAATCTAAATCCTAATGGATTTGGATGAGATTCGGGTTTAATCTAACTTTGTTTTAATTTTTTAAAATATAAAAAATTAAAAAGTTAATTACTTTTCAACTTTATATATAATAAATTAATGTAAAAATAAAATACCGATTTGGTTATATTATAAATTTATATATAATATAATATGTAAAATATATTTTTATGATTTTAAATATATTATATAAAATTTATATATTAAAATCAATAAATATTATAATATAATTGGATTCGGATTTCAATCTATCCGATAGAATCAAATCCAAATCCGATCTAATTATTAATTGAATACAGATTCCAAAATCCAAATCCGGTTTGATTATATAAACGCATCATCTGAATTCAAGATAATCAGACGGGCCATGGATTTTCAAGTATCATTTACAAGCCTATACACAATATTATCTATTTAAAAAACCAGTTTAAATGAAATTGGAACTATACTATAGCTTGTCTAATTGAAACAAAATCAGTTTTTTTTTTTAATTCAAATAAAAGACTCATTCTTTTAATTGAAAAAGGTCATTAATTACAAATTAAACCCAATTTAATTTATTGAATTAAATAAAAACCTAAACCAAACTTGCTATATAAGCATAAGTAGTGAATCTCCAACGAAATGATAAGTGGTGTGGGATCCATTCTTCTGGGTAAAGTGGGTAATTAATTCTATATAAAATCTGATTTAATCTCTTAAATCAAATGAAATACCTATCTGGCCATAAAATTCTTTACCAAAGAAAATATGAAAAATTGTCTAAAACTCACCATGACTTCTAAGCATTTCTCTTAAACTCAATATAACTTTTCAAAATGTCCAAAGAACCCCATACTACCGTGTCCAATGTGCTTGAGATGATGATACGTTACATCTATAGCTTTTATTTCCTCAATCCTTCGAGTACATGAAAGTCTCGCTAGAAAATAATAGTTCAGATTCAATGGACCCTTCGGTTCACGGGGCATGTGAACCCTCCCATAGGAGGCATGCACGTCACCCTCTTCGGGGTTTGCTATTCTATTAACGAAACGAGTCTGTTAACGTTGTCAGCCCAGTTCAACTGGTTAGGTAAAAACAAAATCTGGGCCCTATCTTTTCCCCTCATTCGTTTGAACTCTCTTTACCCAATTTCATTTTCACCCGAGCCCTAGCTTAAGAGCAGGAGGCCACTCTCACCGGCAGTAATTTCAGCAAGTCTGACAACGTGGAGTCAATCGACAACAAGAATCAACTAATGGTAAGCATCCATTCTCCTCATTTTCCTTCCAAACCTGCTATTCCTCTCCAATCTCATATTCTTCCTTTCTATAGACCACAGGCGGTGATTTCTTTGTTTCACCAAGCTCCGACAACATGGAATCAACAAGCGACAAGTGTAAACCCACAGTTGAGTTGGGGATCTTAATTGCTCTAAGTTCTAAAATTGAAAATCTAACAAATTTTGTCTCAACTGTATTTCCTTAACACCAAGATAAAAGGTTTGATAAAAAACGGAGAGAACAAGCTATTATTGGATGGGAATACTTGTTTTACTAGACAGACTGAACATTTCAAGCTTTTGATAAATCTACGAAAATGTGAAGATCCATAAACCAGACCTTGTTCTTCCCAAGATGTGGGTCATTTGATTATGGCATCTTCACAACTCACAAGACTTCCACTCTTGTCTGAGTGCACAGGATTGGAATCTTTGAAGAAAAAAATTGCCGTCCATGGTCTATAGAAAGGAAGGAGGAATAATAGGTTTGGAAGGAAAATGAGAAGAATGGATGCTTACCACTACCACTGGTTGATTCTTGTCACCGGTTGAACCAGGCTGACAACCTTAATAGACTTGTTACTTAATGGAATAACAAGCCCGAATGAGGGTGACGTGCACACCTCCTATTAGAGGGTTCATGCACCCCATGAATCGAAGGGTTGCATCGATTACTTCGACCAGTTGAAGCATTACACATAGTCAATGCAAACTGGCAACTAGAATATGTTCTGGTCTCATCCTAAGAATTGGTGTCGTGCTTATGCACTATATGCGAACTTGGGTGTTGGCAATAGTTTGACATTGAGGCCTTGCAACTGCCTCTCTAGGTTTCGACCTCTCGATGGCCGTGCATGAAACTCTAGCAACTACCTCTCTACATGCTTGTAGAACAAATCAGATCAAAAGGAGTGTGGGAAGGCCGAATTTTCAAGAGCGTCCCTGAGTTGACATCTGAGAATGCCACATACAATTTCAGCTACGCCTGGAGTGAGGACGACAGATACTTCAATTACTCCCTAAAGCAAAGTAATTTTCCTTCGTCATTTTGGGTGTTGGATTCTGAAAGAAACATCAGGCATACAAGTTCTACAACTGGGCCTAAGACAAGTATAATAGTTTCATCAGCATTCTGTGTTATGTACCTTAGGAGAATTCACCCCTAAAAGTTAGCTGTTAGAGAGAGGGAACTCAAGCACATATATATCCCACAACAGCATCCCATATTATCGATGTGGGATACCTCACATTCATCCCATACTACCAACATGAGATATGGATCATAACATTCCACACACTCCGCAGTCCTGTCACCCATGCAGGCTGGTTTTGCATTAGTCCATTTAGTCCCGGCTGAACACTACAATACCAACATCACCACCTGCGCCGCATGATTGCAACTGGGAGGCATAATGTAGGCTCTGATACCATTTGTTATGTGCCTTATGAGAACTCACCCCTAAAAGTTAGCTGTTAGAAGGAAGGAACCCAAGCACATATATACCCCACAATAACATCCCATACTCCCGATATGGAATACCTAACATTAGCATCCCATACTACCAACATCAAACATGGACCATAACATTCTTTTTCATTTTTATCTAAGATGAGAAAGAATGGGTAAAAATAGGTTAAATGAGAAAATATTGCTATGAACTAAACACTTTTTTTTTCTAAAATGAATTCTTTTAAGATTGACAAGTGTCCTATGCTGCTTATTTTCATTCTAAAAAAATTGTGCTGGTATTTACAAATTGCCAGCCTATGTCTCCAACAGTCGATGTTTACTAGTTGGCATAGATGTTTTGCAATAGTACTTTCGTAAAAGTGCTTTTATAAAAATACTTTCTTAAAAATGCTTTTATGAAAGTACTTCCATAAAAGTGCTTTTATAAGAGCACTTCTGTAAAAGTGCTTTCATAAAAGTTCTTCCGTAAAAATACTTTTATAAAAAAACTTTCATAAAAGTGCTTCCGTAAAGTACTTTCAGAAAAGTTTTTTATAAAAGTACTACTTTCATAAAAATACTCACAAAAGTGTTTTAGTAAAGTACTTTTGTAATGTGTTTTCAAAAAGTGTTTTCATAAAAATATCTTCGTAAAAGTGCTTTAGTAAAGTACTTTTATAATAGTGCTTTCATGTAAAAGTACCTTTATAGAAGTGCTTTGTAAAAGTATTTTTGTAAAAGTGCTTTCGCAAAAGTTAGCATCTATGGAAACAGTTTTGTAGACAAAGCTTCTTCAAAGAATGAAAATGTGCAAGATTGGGTATGATTATTTTTCATACTGCATGCTACTCCATTTTTGTGTTATGGGGCTGATTTTTCCTTCTAAAGAGAATGTAGCCATGGCAAGAATTTTGCAACCAAGCAGTCTAATGTTATTCATTCTTGTCCATTCTTTCCTAGAATAATCAAGAATTAAAAGATTGAGATCCAGAGCAATGAACCAAACATGACCTTAGTCGCCACAACACTTTTCATCAGAAAATAAACTTGGTCAAGGCGGATTTGGACCTGTTTACAAGGTAAGCTCCTTTAGTTCGAACTTAGTCCGGCCTCCTGCACACTGCACTTCCATTCAGCCCGTGATCAAATCAGTGTCTCACTACATGCATACTCAAAATGTGTTGGAAAAGAGTGCATGAGATTCAAACTCATTGAGTCTGTTTTGAATAACAAAATGGTGGAAAACTCTTCGAATTTGTCCTAGTCTACTAAACCATTGTTTTGAATATCAAAATGGTGGAGAACTCTTCTTATTGGTCCTAGTATGCAAAACCCTAGTTTGGATAGAAATCTGGATCAAGTTAAAAACTCCAAACCCACTATAACATTGATTCTCCACCCAAAAGGCAACTAAGCATCAATGAGATCTAGACAAGAACGATACAAAAGAGTATTTCTGGAATATTGTAAGGTTTTAAACATTAACAAAGGGTAAAATGGTAATATGATAGCATTCATTAGTTTATTTAACATTAAATTACTTGGATTCTTTGGGTGTTTTGAAAAGTTATGATGAATTTAAGAGAAATGCTAAAAAGCTATGATGAATTTTAGACAATTTTAGCCTAAATTTACATAGATATGAACCCCAAAATAGGTTGAATTGATCGCCCGTACTACCTAGGAGGATCATTGTCTAGTTGGTATGAAAATAAAATGATGCAGAATTGCATAGTGAAGATTTGGAATCATTTAGCTTACTTGAAAACTTAGGCTATATAAATGATTCCGAATCTATATAACCTTCATGAGTTTTCAACTTTTGATATTCACTCTTATTATTTCTTTTTATTGTTTGAAAATAGGTTTAATACAACTGTTTTTATACTTTAAAAACAATTAAACATTCATACCATTTAGAGTATTGGTGGATTCAAAATACAATATGTATCATCGGTTGTTACTAATACACAGTTATAACCTTTGGAGAGAGATTAGATTAAAAGCACTTAGTCAATCTAACTTTATTCCCCTTTTTTA